GTTATTCCTTTACGTAACCTGAGGTATAAATAAAGCCAGTCAGAGAGACCTCTCTCTCTCTTCTTCCGGTGAGGTTTGGGAACAGTAGATCCCCGTCTCGGTCTTGCTTATCTGGAGCTGAGGCCTGCAGTGACTGTTGTTGTCTACCATGTGTTAGGGGAGAGTGCTGGGCCTGCTTTTCTCAAGGGAAGTGGTGAGGTTCTGTTAGTTCTTTATTTTGTTGGTTACCAGGTTTTTTGATTGTGCATACCTATTCTGTTTTTGTCCATTGTTGTCCCTTTATGTCCTTTTTTCCCTTTTCCCTTCCCCTCTTTCCCTTTTGGGAGCAATTTGGGGTTTCTGTGTTCATATGTACATAGCACCTTAATTGTATATCTGTAATATATGTAAAAAAAAATATATATATATTATTTTTTATATAGCTTTTGCTATTCCCTTTCTTTTCCCTTCTCTCTCTTCTGGGAGCTTTTCTTCTGTAGTCTGTGGGGTTTGGCGGGAAGCCAACTACAACCGACTACAACAGTAATATAAAATTACCGTTGCAAAACTGAGCATCCTACCTAGTAGTTCCATCTAGTATAGGGCAGTGAAAGAAAGAAGAAAGCCAAGAAGGTAGCTCAGAGGAATATGTGTTTGGGAGACCCTGGCATGGAGCACCACCTGTAGGCAGATGTGCTCTACTGGGCTGATGCCCTAGGAGGGCTTCCCAGAGACTTGGCACTGGCTAAAGATGGGCTCATAATGCAACAAGGAGCATGTCTATTCCCTGCACTGCCTATGAACTGCTGGCTCATACGCACTGTGTCTCTGGGATCCATTACCTTGTGTGTGAGAGCCGCAAACAGCAAGTAACCAGCTTGGGAATGAACCAAGCCCTTGGGTTTGCCAGTACTGCCTGATGTGTAGAGAAGAAACAACATATCTTCACTGTCCATGACAGCAGGTTCACAGCATGCATCCTCTTTCATCATCTCCTGCAGGAAAGAGTACAGCAGTTCTTTCAGGGTCTCACAGCCTCCCCTGTGTTGCTTGTGCACCTGTGTTGCCTGTGTACCTCCCCTGTTGCTCCCCACACCTTCTTGTGCACCTCTCGCCCAAGCCTCCTTCCCCTCTGAGCACCCAGCTCCCCCCAAACATCATTCCTTGTCTCTGCACCTCCACTCCCCTTGCTCAGCAGCCTGAACTCCCTTTTGCCTTGCGGAGCTGGCAAACACTCTCCTCAGTCGGAGCAGACCTGCTGAGTAAGAGGCAGCTATTTTTACACTGCTGCTGCTCTGACCAGCACAGAAGTCTTCCAGGAAGCCTTTGCAGCACTAATTGCTTCCAGATGCGATGAGCAGAGACGGAGAGACTACTGTGTAGCTCCAGGGAGCCAGCAGAAATGCACGGCAGGGGCTCACCTGTTCAGAAACAGTGCTCCATGCTGGCAGCCACAGATAATGGGCACACGAGCAACCTCACTGCCTGCTTCCTTGGACACAAATTGCTAGTAGCACTCACAGAGAATGCCAGATCTGCCAGCAGAGTGGCGTGTGACAGTGCAATGGCAGTCCAAGGCTGGGTTCACAAAGTAGCAGCCCGTGTCTGGTATGTTTGTAGCCCTCAGTCCACCCTGCTATGAGCCCTGACTTGCACTGCCTGCTCCTGAGAGCACAGGGCTGGTAGCATGGGAAGAGACACCAGTAGTCCATCCTGATGGCTCCTGAGACTGTCCTGAACTCATGTGCAGCTCTGACTGCCGCTGCTGCTGTGGGACAATATGCCCAAATTGTGTCAATGCCAGTGAAACTGTCATGGCCAGCCAAGACCCTCTCTCCACCCACTGTCCCTACTCCCAGAGCAAGCACTTTGCCCAGGGAAAGTGACAGTAGCACCAGGAAGGCCTCACCTCCTCCAGTGGCACATCTAGGGCCGTCATGGGAACCTTGCTGGTGGTCCTCATGGAAACCAGAACCCGTTTCACTCTGGGGCACTGCTTCACAGCCTGGTCCACTGTCTTCTTTAGCTCAATAACCTTGCCACCTCTCAGCCCCTGGTTCACTGTAATCACCAACTCTGACTGGGCTGCAGAAGACAGAAGAGTCACATAAGCAGCTCTGCCCTTCTCTATCAGTCACACAGCAGTTTGGCTCTACCATGACACTGCACCTCTCTCTCTGTCTCTCAGCCCCTGTTACTCATGTCCTTCATTTAGCAAAACCAGCAGATTTGAGTCTTGATTTTCCATTAATTCCTACCTGTGATGCATCTCCTCACAGGAGATGCTGTATCCCAGCCCTTCAGTCCCATGGATGAAAGAGAAAACCAGTTCATCCCATGGGCTAGAAGGTATTTAGTGAGCTCATGCCATTTCCTGTGTTGCTAATCCCTGCTCCATGGCTATACATGATATCAGGATACCCCCAGGTAGCTCAGAGAATTTTACTCAGAAAACCTTTGCCATCCACACAATCCTGAGCCCCCCAGCTGCTGAACCAGCAAGCTCAACACTGTCCCCCAAGGGAAACACATGTCACTCTTACCCACTGGCTCTTACCATCCCGGATCCTGTCCGCGAGGGACTCTGCGCTGAACCCAGCGAACACCACAGCATGCACAGCCCCGATGCGGGCACAGGCCAGCATGCTAGCCACTGCCAGTGGGCACGGGGGCATGTAGATTGTAACCCTGTCACCTCGTTTCACCCCTTGCCTTTTCAAGGTGTTTCCCAGGCGACACGTCAGCTCTAGCAGTTCCCTGCCCAAAGAAGCAATTACATAGTTAGAGACTTTCTTGCAGATTTAACCAGTGTGCTTAAAGGTGGAGGACCTCAGAGTTATGCACAGTTTATATCCCTCCACTCCTCACTCTGGACGTCCATGGAAGGGCTGTAAAATTCAGTGGGAAGGAAAGCAGAAGACAGACTCTAACATGGGTTATTATTTGTGGAAAAGAAATAAAGCAGAATGGTTTCTGTACAGCAATGGCCACTGGCAATTCCTCTGGCTCAGCAAACACACAACAGCGCAGCTGACTTCCACGATGACAGCCTGCTCATTTCTTACCAACCTGTACAACTGGCTTGACACACTACCCTGCATAGCTGGAGGCTACATGTGAGAAGTTAGATATCTTCCCCCATGAAAACAGGGTCTTGTGCTTTGCTAAAGCTGAGAAGGTCAAGTCCTCCAGAGCTTGTGCCCACTAGCAAGAACAACAGCTGTAGGAAAGCAGTGAACAAAAAGATGCCTCTCCCAAGAAGCATTCCTCCCCAAAGCCACAGCTTGGATGTCGGTGACTCATTTTATGGAAGGGCTCTCCATGCAGGGAGATTGGCAGGGGTGGATGGTCATATTTGTCGTGTGAGGTCTGGAGCCAGAAAGGACAGAGGGACTTTTTTTACTGTGCAGGGGAATTTAAGTGAATTCTGCAGCAGAAGCTCAGAGAGCAGGCAAATTAAGCTGGAAGGTGGTGACCTCAAACCAACCCAGCAGGGCTGGACAGGCAGTCCTCCAGAGAGCCAAATCCAGCAGCACTGCTGACGTGCAGATGAGAATGGGATTTCTCAACACAGATGCAGCTGTGAATCTGGCCTGTAAGTGCCAGATTTACCATTAAGTTTAGACCACAGGAACCTTGCTGGGAAGACACATGTGTGACTTTCCTGTGTGTTTTACCTACAAGCATCGCAGTGCTGCCCCAAGGATCTTACATCTGCCTCCCCAGCTGGGTAGAGACTCCTCAGGGCCCAGAGGATTTAATCAGGAGGTAGGCTGAAGTTTCAGATCAGCACAAGCAAGCCAACATTCTGTTGATCCATCTACGTGAAGGGATGCTGCATTCCCTCACATGACAGACATCAGCAGATCAGTCCTGTAAACATGCATGCTGCAATAGGACTCGTATGCTGAGAGGTAGCTACTGACCTGTATGTCACCTGTACTTCCTCTCCTGGTTCATCCTTCTCCCATATTAAGGCCACTTTGTCTGGGGCTGCATGGACATGACGGTCCAGGCAATTCACTGGAATAGAAAACCCAGTCTCATCAACAGAGAAACCCTCAGTACATCTTACCTCTCACCTCTCATTAAGCCAGCACCAGCAGTCCAGTTTTCAGGTCAGTCAGGGCTGTGTGTGGGTCTTCTCAGCAACCTTGTGCAACCTTTGTGGATACTAGTCAGCAGATCACAAGCACCATCCCAGCCTCATTACACTCATCACCACTTCAATATCCACCAATCCCCACTATCAGCTTCCCCCTTAACTGCAACTTTATGCAGTCCAGAGCAGAAACTGCCTAAAGCTCCTTTGGAGGTCACATCCACAATGTCCTCAGAGTGCCCAGCAAACATTAACTCAACCACCACTCCATCCAGCACTGCCTTGCAGCTACCTCTGGGTGGACTAGGGCAGTTTTTGAGTGGCAGTGCTCCTAAATCACAAATGTAGGACAAAACAAACTGCACAGGAAAGCTACAGAGTACATTTGTCCAAGATGGAAGAGAGCCAGGGCAAAGGCAGAGCACACAGCCGCTGGCTTTCCAGGGACATTGTAAGCTGAGGCTTTGGCTGTTGTTCTTCCAAGAAAAGTTTCCCACATTGCTGGCAGCTGCAGTTTCCTCAGAAGCCTTGTTCACTTTGTGTTTTCCTTAACCCTGCTACTGAAGTCATGAGATGATGCAGCAGCCCCAGTTTGCATACCGAAATGCTTTTATCTCCTGACCATTTGTAGTTTCCCAGGAGAGAAAGAAACATATATGAAAGGGGGAATAAAAAGATCTCAAATCCTAAAGGCAAATAACTCCTGCTCTCCTTTCAAAATGGACTACAAGACCTGATTTTCTGAGAGGTTTGTCTCTTATTTTGAACACTGAGACTAACAGCACTATGAGCAGGACACAGTGTTACCAGCCCCTGGTAGCCCCGCTAAGGCAGTAGCCCCAACCCATAGAAGAGTCTCCCATGACAGTGGGGACTTCCAGTGTGGCTCATTGCTCTTGTATTTTGCTTTCTGCAGATACATCCTGCCTTCGCTGGGCGGGGATGACCTAGTGCAACCCTGCCTGCTGAATGCACAGGGTTTGGTGCTGTTGCCAGAATGGAGCCACTGCCGTCATGTGGGATCCACAGAGGCTGAGGAAGAGCAACCTGACTCCCAGCACACCCCAATACACCTGCAGCCCCTCCAGAGAGACCCAGCTGCTACCATAGGATAAGCCACAACCTTACACTACAGCCACTGCAGGACCAACCAGACCTTTTGGAATCCCCCTCTCTCCAACCCTGTAACGGTGTGCTCTTCCAATATGCTCCCCCACTTGAAGCTCCACAATTGCAGGGACTCGGTGGGATCCCATGACTGCCTCCCTCCTTACCTGTCACGTTCAGCTGCCCACCCAGGAACCAGGAGACCCTGCCCTGGTGCAGATCGCAGTCCTGGACAGAGTGGAAGGGGGTGATCCAGGTGAGCCGGCTCCTTCCTAGTGCTCCCCAGAAGGCATCCCCTTGCTCCACTGAAACCTTGTACAAGTCTTGGTGGTCCTTGGGTCTGGAGAAGGTGATGGCTTCGGGCATGTAGGCAGTGAGGGGCCCATGGCTCCAGGCTCGGGCAGCCACCAACCCAAGGCGGCATCTGGGAACCTGAGAAAGAGCTTTGGAGCAGCAGGTCCTGGCCAGCAGCCTGGCCATCACCGCAGGGTACCTACCTCTCACCAAGGAGATGGGTGCCCTGAAGCCCTTCCAGCTGCTCAGGACACCTGGCCCAGGCAAAACCCAGGCCCTTGTGCAAGCTGGGGCTACGTCGTCCTGGGCTAACTGGACAAAAAGAAGCCCTCCAGCACAGGGAGCCTTTCTCCCCTGCCTTGTCCCTATCCTCCTCTCTTCCAGAGCACTATGGGAAAAAAGAAATTCAATCACTTTAAGGGAGGGGAAAGGGGTGGGCTGTAGAAATATTTGACTGAAAATAACCTCCATGCTAATTTGAGTCCTGACAGCCGCTCTTGAACAAGAGCCAGGTTCAGCTTGTGCCTGGCCTCCCCTCGGGGGCCAAGATGCCTGGGCCAGGCTCTAACAGCCTGCTGCTGCTCCTGCTCTCCCAAGGCTGCTCTGCATCCCCAGACTTCTCTGTTTCATCTCCACTCACCTCCCTGACACCTCCCTCTACTCATCCCCATCCCCTCACTCCGACACCTCCCCTGCTGCAGCCCCGCAGTCCTCTGCTGGCCACAAAGGCAGCTTGGGGCAGGTTACCTGTAAAAGTTAGGTCCCCCTTCATGCTAGTCCTGAGTGATAGAACCATCCCCTTCCCAAAATTAAAGCCCATTTACTGCAGAGAACTAGGCTGTGTTATCTGTGATGGGCCAGGGAAGGCTTTACTCACTTGGCTGTCAGCTGCAGGGTGGGGATATTGCATCCCATCCCTTCCCACTGGGCAGATATCAGAGCTTTCCTCTCCGGCAAGCTGGGCTGGGCCCTCTGCCTCCTCCCAAATACTACAGACCAGCTGTACCACCAGGTAGACTGGGAGCACTCAATGAGGCCATGGTAGAGCAGGGGGTGCTGGTTTGGCATGAAACACTGCAGCCCATCTCCTCACGCTGAGACCTCCCACCATCCACTGTAGCAGAGCAAAGTTCTTCCCTGCCTCCAAACATCTTTTTTTTCTGCTTTCCTTTCCTTCAGGCCCTGCATAGGTAGGTTTTATTAAGGCAGAGTTTGGAGGCTTCCTTAATTTCATTGACCAGATTCACCTCCCTTCCTAGGGGTCACAAGAGAGGGGCAGAAAAAGGCTCTCCCTGCAAGTAGAGCTGTTCTCAGTAAGGCACTCTGATGGGATCAACAGCAGACATGAGAGGTTAGTAGATCTCCTCTTTGCTCTTCATAGTGCGACACCACTGATGATCTGTGGAGCTGATATGTTTGGTGAACAGGTTGGACACCAGCATGGGGAACAGGATCTATCTGCCGTCAGGTACACTCATCGCACACTATACACCTGGTTAGTATCAGAGCTGCCCCGAGGTCGGTGGGTTACCTACAAGGGTTCTGTCCCCCTGGGGAAACGCAGTCCTGTGGACTTACAGTCCCTCCACAAAGTCAAGCCCAACCAGCCTCATCATTCCAGAAGTCTCTTATTTACTATGCACGCCTGCTCTGCTTCTGCATTTTCCCCCTCCCTTTAAGACATTAGGTTTTTCCATCAGACCATACCCAGATGCCCTTAATAAGGCAGACAAGTCTCAACTTCTTATCTGATAACTCAGAATAGGTTCCCACTGCTCTCAAATCAGAGCTCACCTTGCTGGAAATCCTGTCGGTGCCCTTCCCTTTCAACCAGCTCCCCTGCACTTGCAGCGTCTGTCTGCTGCCTCAGCTCCTCAGGCCAGCTGAGCCTTGCAGCCTGCTCCTGGCAGAGGGGTTGAGCCTGCCCAAAGGTCTGTCTGACTCTCTAACACCAGGGCACATGTGATATGGGGTGACCCAAAGCACCAGGGCTGTCCTGGATGCTGAAGTGACTTGTTCTCTGACTAGCTGTATACCATAACTTCTGCTCTGAGTACAAGCACGTCCCTTTCAACTTTGTCTTTCACTGCAAAGGGAGGGCAGCACCCAAGCCCTGTATTCTCCATGCTTGGGTGGGGAGGAAGGTGCAGACCTCCTTCTATGCTGCTTTGGATCTCCCACCCCTCCCTGGCTACAGCCTCACATCCAATCCCCTGTCAGCTTTGGCTGAACTCACCCTCCTTGAACACTGGTGACCAGACTCATACACAGTATTCCTGTTTAATTTTATTCTTGTTCGTATCTTTACAGAAAATGGCACATAAATCACAGATGCTGGATGACTAGAAGTTGTTACAGCTCCATATCTCAAACACCTCAATACTGAATTCTTTTCTCACTGTATATACATTATTTACACCCCATGGGCTAAATCTAACACGTCAAACGACCAGGGGACAAAGACAAACAGGGGTTGGATGAGCGGGCTGAACATTTGACAGAAGAAAAACTGTGGGGAAAGGGTGCTCACAGCTGAAAGCAGGACAGAAAGGGGCACCTGGAAGTCACTGTCCTACAGCTTTTGGAGGGGGAATAGTGCCCTACTGGGATGGAAAGGTGATGGTACCATGGAGTGGGTTTGGCTGTGTGAGTCTGCATGTGCTTATATGGCATGTATGTACACATTACAGGGGGTATCAGAGTGGACGTGCATGGCTGTCATTCCCTTTAACACTCAGAGGGTGAACTGGACAAATTTAAATCAATAAATACATTAGGTGGATGTTGTTGTCTCACCTGCAATAATGTATTCAGTAAATAATTTCACCATCTGGCCTCTCTGCAGGGGTGCAGGGCTTTGGCATTTGGGGCAGAGTCAGACCCAATTGTCCAGCACTGCAGGAGCCAGCAACATGGGTTGGGGTCACCCCGAGTTGCCAGGTGGGACCAGGGTGTTTTGCCTGTGGGCTAAACCTGCCTCTCCTTGCCAAACAGGGGCAAAACATAACCGGCCTAAAGTTGCAGCCCCTTCCCAGCAGACCCCAGTGCTGGGCAGGGAGAGATGGGAGGAAAGTGCAAACTACCCTGCATGGATAGTCATCATTTCATGCAAACACTGCCATGGGCTTGCCCTGCTGTGGCCTGGGCCAAAGGCAGAGGTGATGGCCAGGGGAAGGTAGTGGGTCTGCCTGGGGCATGGTGGAATAGGGCACAATGGGAAGGGACCTAGGCAGCACTGGGGAGAGAAGTGCACCAAGGAGGGCCATGGCAGCAGGGGACATTGCTTCAGGATGGCAGATGGGCTTTGGGGCTGCAACAGCAGGAAAAAGCCCCAGAGACAGTCATGAGGCTGAAGGGACCAGAGCCTTGGTGCCCTCTCGGGTGGCAATGATGATGTGCGTCCCCCAAAAGGAAGGGGTGGGGAGTAAGGAAGGCCTGGTGGGGCAGAGGACTGAGGGACAAGGGTATGCTCAAGGGGAGCAGGCAATGGGCACCCCTGCCAGGCAGCCCCAAACACAGAAACCAGGGCCCTGCTCCCTGGCAGGGGTGGCCAGGGAGGCCTGACAGTCTGAGTAGGAACGTGGTCCCCAGAGGACAGAGTGTCTGTCGGGGCTGGCTTCCACCGTCTCTCTTCCCCCTAGATCAGCTTCTCCTCCTTCTGCGACGAGTTCAACTTCTCCGTCTGTCTCTCATCCTCTGCCACTGCCACCTCCTCCCCTGTCTCCGGCTTCCTGCCTGGGGCTGGGGTGTCCCCAGCGATGGTCCCCAGGACTTTGGTGCTGTGCTCCTGAGCTTTGGCCCTGAGGGCGGCAATGCTGTTTTCTCTCAGTTCCTCCTGAGAAATGGTGGTTTTGGGATCCGGACCTCTCTCTTCCTTGTCACCTTTGTCAAGCTTGGGCAGGGCCTGGCGCTCCACCTCTGTCTTCCTCCCCGCCTCAGCCGCTGCCTCCAGAGACTTTTTGTGCATCCCTAAAAAGAATTGTTGGTATTCGGGTTTAGAAAAGCGCCTGGGCATGGGAAAGCCATCTTGAACTGAAAACAGCAAAGATAAAGAGAGGCCAGAATTAAGGAAAAGCAGAAACCCTCACTTCATACAGCAGTCACGGGGAGCCACTTGCTCCTGCGCCCATGCAAGGGCAGCCCGGGCAAGGCAGCTGCCTGCTGGGGCAGCCTGGCATCTGTGGACTCCGGGCTGCCCCCAAAGGTCTATAATTACTCTCCTCTTCATTTCTCTCTTTGAACCTAAAGCTAACTTGTCCCTGCATGGGGATGAGGGTCTCAGACAGCAGCGCAGTTGCCTGAGATTCACTGAGGATGATCCCTATTGCCTATTTCTGTATCAACCCACTCCGCACAACCACCTCTCTGCCTCTCTCAGTTTCACAGAGACAGAAGGACAGGACAGCCCGTCGTCAAGATGCCAGACAGTGGTTTTGGGGCAGAACCAGCCTGGGAGGTCAGAAAGAGGGAAGCAAAGAGCAGGAGTGTGTTAGGGTAGCTGCTACCTCCATGTCTGCACAGAAAACCAAGTGAAACCAGACAGAAATGGAGCTCCCCCAGGTGTCAAGAACAGGAGGAGGCAGCAGTGTTCCCCCTGGGACATGGAGCAAGGACAGTGCATTTGGGGGTCCTGATACCCCACACAGCATCACAGGGCCGGACAAGTGAGACTGGGATGACCTCCTGCCCTGGACAAGGGTTAGAGCCTTTGCTCCAGGGCTGAGCATGAAGGATGCTTTAGCTATGGGAATTGAAGGCTAACATCAGCCTGAGCATGGGGGCAAATTCCTATCCCAACCAGATTCTGCAGGTCAGGGTCCAAGGTTCAGCAGGAATTTGGGATGAGCAGTCAAATCCTATTGATGAGGGTCATGGGGGGACAGGGGGCATTGAGCGAGGCAGGGCAGGTAGAGCCTTACCCTGCTGCCCTTCACCTATTTTCAACATAACTCTGATTTCTTCCTTGCTTCCCCCTCTTTGTCTCCACCCACTCGCCATCACCCATGAAGGCAGCTGCTCTCTTACCCAGGAGCCAAGGGGCACAGGACTCCATGATGCCATCCTTGGCAGACTTGAGGATGGACTCGGGCAGTGGGATGGAGTGACGCACCATGGCACCGTAGAGCCCGTACTCAGCCATCACACTGCTCCTGCCCCAGCATTTCTCCCTCTTCCGCCACTTGGCCCGGCGGTTCTGGAACCAAACCTGGAGCAAGCAACAAGGAGGGACATGGGTTTTTTTGCAAGGAGAAGGCATGTCAGTCCCTTTCCCACATGGGAACACACATGTTTGTGCAGCAGGATGAAGGCAGATGCGTGGATGCTCATCCTGAAGGCACTACAACCTCTTTCCCTACGCAGTAGACACCAGGCATCTCTCCCTCCCTCCCTTGCAGGAGTGGCAAGGGCCAAGTGTGAAAGCAGGTCCCACCCCTCTCCACAGGATGTAATTAATTTGCCATTGCAGCATCTTTTTCTAGTGGCTTTTGGCTCTTGTGCCTGGGATTTTCTTTTATTATTTACTGGGTGTCTGAGCAGCAGCACAGAGCTGCAGGCAAGCGGTGCCTGAGGGGAGGGCTTGGATGGGGGTGGAGGATCAGGAGAAGCAGGAGAAGGGGGAAGCTGATCTGTGCGCTTTGCCCTGAATTCCCAGTTTGAAAAGCCCCTCATCTTCTCAGAAAATTGGCAGAATAATCTCTGAGCTGTGACCTGGGGGCCAGCGAGCAGAGAGGCGGGCGGCAATGGCAGGGAGGGGGTGATACTGGCAGAAATCTATTAGTGCTTTCTCTCTGATTTCCATTCCTCTTGTCTCCCTCGCCCTCCTCCCTCCCCGGCTCCCCTCCCTTCCCACCGAGCAGAGGCATCAGCTTTAGATGAAAAATTGCTTGAGGTCTATTCAGAAGGAGGCAAAGGAAGAGTCAGCCCCAGGGGCAGCCCAGGCCTGATTGAAAAATAAGTTAATTTCAGTTTGAATCGATGGGCCTCAGGCACTGAAATATCACGGGAAATTAAAGCAGCTGGTCCCCAGGGAACCACGCCATTGACCTGCGCTAATTAATGCCATGGAGTTACCAGGCCCCTCTCCAAGAGGCAGCCCCTCCCTTCCTGCGGACACCCCAACACCTCCTCATTTAACTAATTAGACTCACAGAAAATTGGGTGTTAATTTGTTTAGGATTTTTTTTTCTTTCCTATTTTTTTTCCCTCCCTTTCCCAGAAAGTACATGGCAGAATGGAAATGAATGGCAGGGTCTCACTGGCAGATGGATGCTCGGGGTCACTCCGCAATCTTCTCCGACTTGATTGCTTGATTAGGTCGTTAGCACATTAAAAAAAAAAATTGCTTGCCGTCTGGCGCTGGCCTGATGAGTGGGATGAGGCGGGATTCGCCTGGGTAATTTATCTTTTTATACTGCAAAGAATTTGATTTCAATCTGCAGATATATGGAGGTGCCTTTGACACCTGTTTAACATTACAGAGCTGACAGCTTAACCCTCTCTAGTCCCCACCGTTCATTTCCCTAAGGGAGCCCAAGCTGCACTGGGGGGCACTGGGGGTCTGTCCCAGACCGCCAGCTCTGCCATGGGGACAGTAACACTGATGCCAAGGAATGATATCCTGCTCTCAGCTGGTAAGGCAAGCTCACCTCTTCAACCTGTGCAGAGAACTGCCTGACACTGCAGCCCTATGGTGGGGACAGAGCTGCAGGGTAGGCAAGTGGTTTGCTAACACTGGTGACAACCAGCCTTGGCCATTCCTGGGAGCTCAGCCGGCCTGCTCCCACAGAGAGCTGGGTGGGGTGGCGGTCCCAGTAGCTGTGATCCCAGCTTCTCCCAGCAGAAGACACTGTGCATGTCAGAGGGGATTTTACAGCCAGGCTGCTTCACCACACATCACCTCCTCTGCATGATGAACAGTCTGATTTGCACTTTCATACTGCCGATACCTAACCTCTGGACCATGGATGGCTGCAAATCCTCCAGTGCCCGAGCAAAGACCCTCAGGAACGCACACCTTCCTCTTTTCACTTGCTCCTCCATGCTCATGTGAAACACAGGTTTGCTTGGCCCTGCAGTCAGCAGGATACTGACAGGGTCTCTCACTCCCGGCATTCCTCCCACTCCCAGAGCCCAGAGTGAAGAGCTGGAGGGGAATGGCTCACTCCTACTCCAAACTCAGCCCAAAATTCCATGGTTCTTTCTCACCCACCAGACCCAGGCAGCGGTACAGCCACCCCCCTACAATTCCATGCTATGAGGGGGCAGTTTAACCCACTTGAGACAGGAGAGGGATCCTGCCTGTTCTGCCCCGGATAAACCAGTATATTTAGATCCATCACAGCAGAGCTCCTCTCCGATTTCAGAGAGAAATTCCTGCACAGTCCCATGTCTGGTGCCTGTAAATCTGGCTTGGTTTGGGGCTGCAGTGACACTCTTCCATGCACCTAGAGTGGCTTGCAGGGCTCACCTCCGTACAGCTGTTTTTGTCACTAGCTGACACACTTAGGATCTCAGCCCACAAACAGGTTTTTCCACCAAGTACCAAGTGGGCAACTTTTTAAACTCCCCTCAATCTTATTTTATCAGATGCCTATTCACTGACGCTTTTACTACCTTTCCCTTTCTCCTCCCTCCTGCCTTGATGTCCCAAACATCTTCCCCCCTCCCTCACACTCCTCTTCCCTTCTCCCTGGCCAGGTCTCAGCCTGCCCACTGCTACTAAACCGGATGCCCTGAAGCATCCCCTTTTCCATGGCAGTGTTACACAAACACTAGAGGCAGCAGAAGCTTTACCAGCTGGCAGCCCAATCTTGACTAGAGATGGTAGAAAATTTTCAATCAAAAAATGCTGATTCAATCACACAGGAAAAACACTGTCCAGCCAGTGGAAATGTAATCAAAATTATCTATGGCTTTCTTATGAATGCTGTATTTTAATCTCAGATGCATAAGACATGCAAAATCTATGCTTTAAAGCCAAATGGGAATATCAAAATTACATCAACATTTCAGTAAGATTATTCTGAGATTTCTGAAACCAATTTTTGTTTTTTGATGGGAATTTCCTCTTAGTTTTGACTAGGAAAAATTAAAGTTTGAAATCCCAGAATGTCTATCAGAACAGAAATCAGGAAGACGGACCATCTTGCTTTAATACCAGGAGACATATCTTCATCTCATGCATGAAGCTGAGTGAAATCAGTGGTGCTCTTTACAGAATATTGCTGGGATCAAATCCCAGCCCAGCATCTCTGCCACAAGCCGATCCCAAGGAACATGGAGAGAAAAGCTCCAGCATGGCACTGGCAGCTCCCACGCCATTTCAGATCAGCAGAATTGTTCCCTGTGGCCCGTTCTCATGATTTTGTCCTCATTCAGATGGCTCCATCAGTAGGGCTTTCTTCTGGGAGATCTCACTACTTTCTTTAAATTTCTCGATGTGTTACCAGAATTTTCCCATGCCTTGATTCTGAGCTGAATTATGCACTGGTTTTAGTAATTCAGAGGTATTCTCAGCTCTGTTGGTACATCAGCCACAACTTCCAAATATACAGTTGTTTATTATTGGCACCTCACTTCTCCTGGAGTGGGTTCACCCTTACACTTACATTTACTCGTGGTTTTGGTATTCTTCAGCTGCTTACTGTCCTTCCTTGCTTTACTTCTTCCAGCTCTTTAAAATTTGATCTGCTACAAGCAATGTTTAGGTTTGTCCACGTTTCCTCTTGCCCCTTCCCATTCTGTGGATTGGCTCAGCTTTGTGAAATGCCTTATTGACATGGTTGTGTGCTGTGCACCTTCCTTCTCACTTGCTTTCCTGTAGTTCTCCGTTGCACAGCTCAGGGTATGGTAAAAAGACTGTGCTTCCATACCTCATGGGCAGTGGGGAAACCCCCTGACTAATTTTAGACTGAAGCACATCAGATGTGCTATTACAATCTGATGTTGGAGAGGTGTCTTTTGGACCAATGTGCTATATCTTAAGTTTTACAGCTCTTTATTTTCACACAAACACCCTCTGGAAAACCCAGGAAGCTTGTTCCAGGAAACTTATCTTCAAAAAATGGATAACAGAGTAAAGTGGACAGGTAGGTCTTGCAGTATTGCAAAGCCTTCTAAATGGGAATGTTTCTAACTTTAATCATCATCTAATTCTCACCTCCAGTGCCCACTGCCCAAAGCAATAAAAGTTGAGGCACTCTATGCTTGACCACAGGGTTGCAAGTGTTTTGGAGCTGGAGTTTTGGAGTTAAGACTGGCAAGGACAACCTTGCCAGTTGCCTCCTCTGAATCACAAATGACAACTGACAATTCTTTGGATTATTGATGATGCAGAAGAGCAAATTATAGGAGGAGGAATCTCTCATTTTGCAAAGGGACATGAGACTCAATATATCCTTGTTATCCACATTCATTATATTAGTTAGTTTGTTTACCTAATCAGTGCCTGAAACATTGTCTGCTGAAGAGAGAAATCTCTCTGCGACTGGCCATGACCCAGGAATCCGAATTAGCAAAGGGGTATTTTAAAGCATCTGTGGTGTTATTGTGTATTGTTTCTGTATTGTTTCAACCTAAAATTTTCCACTGGTTACACTCATTTTCTTGGCTGCTACTTTCCAAGCTGGGGTACACAGACGGGGGAATTGGTATTGGATTTTTTGTCTTCCTAACATAAAAAAATGCTATTTTCCCTGCCCAAGCATGCTTCATCTATTAAAGGAAAACTCCAGGCTAGATAATGGTGAATTTTTGCTTCACCAAATCGTTCATATTGCCTTTGAAATAGCATTTCAACAGGGGTCTTCCTAAGAACGAGCTTTATGGACCACAAGCCGGTCGCAGCCCAAAGCAGCACAAGCTGAATGTCCACTAGATGGCCACAAGCAGATGAACGTCCGCACCTGCAGACACATCGACACAGACACACAGACGCTCCAGCACATGCTTTTGCCAGACTGCGTGGAGCAGCTGCACACAGCTGTCGGCAAACCAGCATCTAAAGCAAAGGACAAAATTCCAAGACCCCCAACAGCAACGCTGAGACCATCTCTCCTGCCCGTGGACTGACAGGCATATCTTCTTTGCATACCTGCCACTTCTCCACTTGAAGCCCTTTGGTGGATCCAGCTGCAGACCAGACAACACCTCCAGTTCACCTCCACATCCAGGGCCCTGCTGCCACCTCAGCACTCAGTTTCTCCT